TGCAGCTGGGGCCAGTTATTTTTCAGCTGGAGCAGGTGGGGAAGGGAGCCCTTCAAGCCACGCATGAGCCTGGGTCCTGTGCTCCTGCCCACAACTGTCTAACTATAAAAAAACCCTCTCCATTCTTGTCCCAGGTCTCTCTGAGGTGGCCCTCTGGGCTGTGTTCTTGTTTCAGAAGAAACATGTTTTCATAATACCCCTACCTCCAGATCTGTGTGTTCCCTCAGGCCCCAGCTTTGGATGCAAAACTGTCTTCTCATTCAGCCTCTGAGTCAAATGGCCCATCCTTTCCCTGCCTGTAGTTTGGTTTAGGAAGTGGTGGGGAGCTGAAGAAACAACTGCAGACCTTTTGGGCAGCACAGGGACACCTTTCACAGTTGTGTGTTTGAATTGTATCCCATTCGCCTTTTGTCAGGACTGCCCAGTAGCAAATGGAGTGAGCACCTCCAGAGGTTGGGTCTGATCAGGGAAGTTCCTTTACAGAAATCCTTTACCTTTTTTTGGGAAAAAAAAACCCAAATCTTGAACAAAGGCTTGAAGACTGTCCTCCTTGCCGGTCATACCTTGCCAATCAAAGAATCCTCTGACTGTATCAGTTCAGAGCTGGGTAAAGGAGGGTGGGCTCTCTTTAGCAGGACTTTCAAAAATGTTCTTTGGGGTTCTCCAAGGGGCTCTCTAAAAAGCTGCAAAAAAGAAGCAAGTAACTTGTGGTGGCAAGCAAAACTTTACTGGGAACAGTCTCAAGACAGACTCAAGTAGAATGCATGCTGATTAGTTTGGTTAAAAGGAAGAAACAAGCACTTTCATCTGGAATTACAGGAATAGCATTTTAGTCCCAGTTAGGTAGCCAGGGGGTTTTTACAAAGCAAACTGATGAACTTCAGTTTTGTGCTCTCAGTTTTGCCTGGGATTGGGAAATAGACCTAGACTCTGCAGCCTTGATAGATTTTAACCAGAGGAAGGAGGTGGTGTTCTGTGTGTCTGGCGCTGGCGTAACTTCTACCAGCTCTGAGAGCAGATGACTCAATTGGGACCTGGAGCAGGAGAATGACTAAGTGGAGAGGGGCCAACATAGAGCCATTGGCAAAGTGTGGCTGAGGCTGACCTTGGGGCTATTCTGCTTGGCCTAGCAATGGAGAAAGTGCTTTCTGTCTTCGAGAATGCAGGGTGGAGAGCTCTTACACACCATCACCAATGTAGGCAACAGTTCACAATGGCAATTTTGTTAATGCAATAATGTTGTTATTGTGCTATGGCTTATTTTACTTGTTTAAATCACTGGACCAGTTCTGCCTGAGAAATACTGAACGTTGGTTTGTACAAAGTCTCTCTTTAATGAACAGTTCAGAAAACACAAATAGGTACATGCATGAATGCCTGTAGAGGTTCTCAGCCTCAGCCTGAATTTTGAGACTTCTTTGTTAAAGGCACGGCTGATCAGGTTGTTCAAAGGATACCTTTGATCTTAATCAGAAGTCCTTCAACTGTATTTTTGTACACACATTTGTTCAAGAACTTGTTAGTTAGAATAGTCTCAGCCACTATATTTTTAACTGTGAAAACAGACACTGATGAATTAAATTGACAACTTTTCGCCTAATCTCAGGTTCTCTGGATTGTGCATGTGTATTCAACCACCCTTTTCAGAACAAAGTTTGAAGACACAGCGATTCTAAGCAAAAGCCCAGCTGCTCACCTAATGTACTTGTCTTAATTGCTGTTTCAAAACCAGTGGGCCTACTTACAGGCTTTAGAGAACAAAAGGGTTTGTAAATGGTACATGCTACCAACAAGAGAGGTCCTTAGAGGTGATTTTCATCATTGGTGTTTTATACGTGATTAGAGCCATGATAGTCTTTATTTGAAGGGTGATTGCAGATTATTATATCTTTGGGTTAATATGATGTCACCATCATTTTGTTTAAGCCTTAGGGCTATTAGCTAATCCTTATGTAGTTTTCTCTTTGAAGATATTTCACAGTGGTAAGAGCAACTAGGTCAGAGGGCAAAAAATAACTTGGAGCACTAGTAAGGACTCTAAGTAGTCCCTTCTGAGAGCTCTCATCTTTCAATTCAGTGGGTCTGCTTTGTTTTTTTCCTTTCTGAAAAACAGTTGTGCCTTGCAGAGGGAAAGGGGACACATCCAGTGTGTTACCTAGAAGACATCTTTTAAAGTATATGTGTGTGTGTGAAGGGAAAATACTCTGTCTAGCTCTATGCAAAATTATTCTCAAACGACCAACTTGCTTCATCATCACACACATCATTCGGAAGGACCATGCCCAAGCAGTGAAGGTCTGATACAGGTACGAGGGCTGCTGCTTATGGCTGTATCTTGCCAGGTTACAAAGATATTATTGCTGAACTGTGTCTCTTCATGCCTGCTAGTCAACATCAGGCAGGGAGATGCAAGGAAGGACTATTTCCTCTAGCACTGTGCAGAGGTTAAACTCTAAACTGTTTGTATGAGCCTGTTTGGGTGACTCTTGCAAGGCAGTGAAGCTGACCCGAGGCTAGAGAAGCAGAAGGAAGACAGCTGGACAACTTGCAAGGAGCAGGGGATCCTCTCTTCCCCAAGAGAGGACAGCTAATAGCTCCACAGAGTCATAAAGGAGCACAGCAAACCTGCCTGCTTTTGCTTTTGGGAAGTGAAGAGCTCTGCTCAGCAGGTGGCATCTCCCTGCATTTTGTCATTTTTGCTCTCCTCTAATGACCAAAGATCAGAGGGCCCCATTTCTGAAGACTATGGTGTCACAATCTGTGCTGACTGGTGCTGGAGGGTGCTCCAGGCAAGCTCACAATTATCCAGCACTGCATCGGGATGAGGTTTCCCACAGCTCCCATTGCTGGGTTTTATCCCTGTTTTCTGTTACATCTCCAAAGAAATGCACCTGTATCTTGGTTGCTGGGAGAAGGGGTTACAGCTAAAATTGGGAAAGAGAGCAGTGAAGGCAAATCAGTAAATCTGCACAGGTCTCAGTCTTCACCAAGTGTGTCTTCCTGCTTACATCCCTGATGGAAGCTCTCTGCCTCTGACACTTGCATGGAAGCTCTTCCCTCTCCTTGGAGCAAGTTATGTCCACTGCCCAGGTTTTACCCAAACTATCTTCTACAGGCTGATCTCTGTGAAGCCTCAATCTATGCAAAAATGTATGTGCTCATGTGCTCAAAGCTTTGGTTTTTGAACAGCTATGCTATTTATTGTGTTGCATTACTTGCTGTTGCCCTTTTTTTAAAAAAAAAACTCTTCATTTGAAGTGCCAGAAAATTTAAATAATATCTCATTTGGATAAGCTAAGGGTTATCATAGAATGGTTTGGGTTTGAAGGGACTTTTAAAGATCATCCCCCCTGAAACAAGCAGGTATATTTTCAATTAAATCAAGTTGCTCAGATCCCTGTTCAACTTTGAATGTTTTCAGAGACTGTCTCTCTGGGCAATCTCTTTCACTGTTTCACCACTTACGTGGGCATAAACTTTGTCTTAGCTGAATGTAAGCCTAACAGCCCAGGGTAAATCCTCCAGCACCTGCTATGAAATCATATGCTCTGCAGTCAGGAGGGACATATGAATCAGGGCATGATCCTAAGCTATGATGAAAGCTTGCAGTGCTTGTGCAAGGAGATCCTTCAATGACTTTCTCTGCTCCGATGTATAAACCACAAGTAACAATCACAGGCAGTTCAACAAGCTGATTTGAAAGTGGTTATGTGCCATCTTAGCCTGCTCAGCCTTGCCTCCTGTGCAGAAAACTGTCTGTCCTCTGCACTGGTGGGGATGGCAGCACAGCTCAGACCAGCAAGGGCCTGTTTGAGTGAGGCTGACTTTGTGAGCACTCACTCCTTCCCCACAGAGCCTGTCAGGAGTCTCACATGTAAGGCCAGCCTGAACTGGCATATCCTACCTGGAATCAAAATAAATAACTTTTTTTAAAAATCAACCACTGTGCATCCTCTTTTCCCTGTCCCCACCTGCATGGAGCAGGTAGGTTGTTGGTGGCAGTACAATGACAGTCAGCTAGCCAACCAGCAGTGTGTGGTGGACACACTGTTTTTGTCCCCCACAATGATCATGTTTTGCTCCATCCTAGTTAGTGTAGCTTCTCTCAGCTCCTACCACATATCCACTGTGTTTAAGTCCTTCTACAAACTGCTCTGTACGTTTTTTTTTGGGACATGTGCTATGGAAGTGGCTGATCTGCGAGGCCAGGGAACTGTAAAAGCTTCTTGTCCCTTACCTATCCTAAAGCTTTGGATTTGTTGATTTGTGATGTTCTTAGGAAAACAAATACCTACTCTATAGAAACAACTTCCTGTATTTTGGATCCTACCAGGATGTGGCATGCTGTTACTCATCTTGAATGGCACCTGGAGTCTTTCACAAACAGCTACATGCTCTTCAGTCTCGATGGAAGGCGAATATGCTATCTACCACTAAGTCAGTTTGTTGTTTACTGTCCTGTTATAGGAAATTTATTTTAACATTTGGAGTCTGAAATGTGATATTTGTGCAAAAATCAATTATCTTGTAATCTCAACCCCAGGGCAAATGACACTGTAGGTGATGCTCAGTCACCATATCAGAAACTAGTCCTCCCTCTGCATGTACTCAGGAAATTGTCTTTCTGAGGTCCTGCATAGCCATCATGGCCTCTGAATAAAGGCATGGAGGCTTCTGCTCCATAGTCTCTGTCTCCTCCCCACTCATGTGGAGGACAGAAGAATGCAGTGCTCCTCTCCCACTAATTCAGGATTGCAGCCCTGATGCGCCAACGGTCTGTGAAGTGTTGCTGGGGCTTTGCTTCTTCACCTGCAGGATCTGAGCTCTGTGCAACTCACTGTGATGTGTGAAAATAAGCTCATCTGTTTATTTAAAAGTCACTATGATGTCCACATTGCATCCTGAGTCCAACAGTGGTTCTGAGCACAGTGCCAGTGTCTGGGCACTGGACTTGGCAGCTCTCTGCAGGCTAGCCCACCCAGATCTGGGAGTGCAGACAGATGTATTTGACATTGTGGAGGCAAGAGGATAATCAGAATGTCACAACCCCATCTGGATTGCTCAGGTAAGCTTTTAGTCCATGAGAAAGCCCTGCCTTACTAAGCAAGACAGGGATTTTGGAGGATGCCGAGAGCCTCGTCGTTTCTGTCTGCCTCTGTTCTTTACGTGTTGTTCTTGTTCCCTTCTGCCAAAGATGCTCTTGGGGAGTGCTCTCTACCAGCTGCCTGCTCAGGTGGTACCAAACTGCTGAAGGCATGAGCTCCTCCTGTAACTGAACACGCCACCACCTCAGAAATGGGTGGACAGGCCTGCTCTAGGAGAGGCAATGTTCTTGTTTGTGTGGCATGAAGCAGTTTCAAAATGAAAACTTTTACTATTGAACAAAGGATTAGGTTAGGAATAAGAAATTATGTCAGTATCAGCACCTTTTCTACTCAGCTAATCCAGTTTACCCTTGCATCTCCCAAGAGCAGTACCTCTTGTGGTGTCTTACATAAAGGAGACCTTGTTTAACAACTGCTAAAGATAACAAAGCAGGTGTTTTGTATTTGTTGTGCCTCAAGCAGCTAACCACTGTACTCCATCTGAGAACAGCAAATCTACAAACAATATGCAGGCAAAGGAGTCAGCAACAGTGAAACCGTTGTCTAGAGCATGGAGAGGGATAAATTTATAAGGTCCCCAACATGGCTTTCCTGCTGAATACGGAGACTGAATGTCAACTTGTATGCATTAGAAGCTAGTGCAAAAAGTACCCTGCTTCCATGGTTGCACCTAGTCTTTTGGTGTGTAGAAGCCCTTGCAGCAGATGAAAGGTGTCTTCAGCATGTACCTGAGTATTCTGCTTGGTGATGCTGCTGCCCAAAGCAGGTGATGAAAGACAAAAGACAAGTGATCCAGGATGGAGACTGTACAGTCCTTGAGCTGCAGACCTCTGGAAGGGGGGGGGGGGGAAGAGGGGCAGGACGTCCTGGGAGCTGGAAACACTAATGTGAGAGCTGTGCAAGGCACAGTGGGAGCTCATGCTATATACAGGATGTTCTCCCTGTGCATAGTATGGAGAAAATACTGCTGTTGACAAGTATAAGCTGACCTTTCTACAGAAAATTACAAATGCTCTACAAAATAGGGGGTCTAAGTCAGGGATGGGCAAAAATCATGAAGGGATTTTAATTCCTATATGTCAAAGTCTTCCTCATTTTCTCACACCACTGCACTGTCAAATGCAGAGTAAATTGTAGATGCCCCATTCCTGGAAACATTTGAGGCCAGGCTGGATGGGGCTTTGAGCAACCTGGTTTAGTGGATGATGTCCCTGCTCACAATGGAGGGATTGGACCTTACTGATCTTTAAGGTCCCTTCCAACCCAAACCATTCTATGATTCTATGAAATGTCTCATCAAAAGAAATGTTCACCTTCTGTTTGAAGAGTTAGCAGTTAAGCAGATGACTTGTGTACAAGAGCATTGATGTCTGCATGAGGTAAAAGTCTCCCCAAGTCTGTGAGCTTTGTAGGGTGCTGCTGTTGCACATGTGTAAACACATGACACTCAGGTGAAGTACCAAGTTGAGTGAAGTGACCAGAGGGTGCAATGAGATATGCTGGGTTCAGGGGATTTTGACTATACTGGAACCATTTTCAGCTGCAGGAACCTAAGTAGGAGATTACCTAGAGCCCTTTTAATCTGAAGCAGCACTGGCCAGATACTGCACAACAGCTAACTGCAGTCAGGGTACTGGTATTTCTGCCCGTTGTTGGTGACAGTGCAGTTATTACCCTGCCCATCTGCTGAGGGGCGAGCTGGGATGGGTGGGGCAGGTACTCAGTGAGCGGGAGGGCCTCCCTCCCGGCCCGAGGGGGAGACCGGCCCTCCCAATCCCCGTGCTGGGCAAGGAGAGGGAGGTTCCGCTTTCCCCGTCGGGCTGGGAGGTCCCCAGTCCCGTCCCTCACTCCCTCCTCCGGTGTGATATTGGGGCGGAGCGCATTCTCGGGATTATATCCGGCGGTGCGGGTCGGGGAGCTGCTGATTTTCGGTTGCGCCCAGGGATGCCGGATATGGAACTGAACATTGACCCGTCGGAGCTGCAGCCGCTGGGAGAGTATGAGTTCGAGAAGAACTTCAATTCGCTGGCAGCCATGAAATGGATGACGGAGAATCGGTGAGAGGAGAGGAGGTTGCAGCTCCAGTGCACCCCGGACCCCGGGTAGCCCCATCGGGTCCTGCTGTTTCCAGAAGAAGAGGTGTGGGGGTCCTCAGTTCCGAGGAGGAGGAGGTTGGGTGGCCCTGGCTGCACACCTGTTGAGGAAGGGCTGCAGCAGTGCGTGGGGCAGAGCAAACTGGTCCAGGTGGTGCTGCAGCCTGTAGGGAGGTGGTGATGTGTCAAGAGGGCAAAGAGCAGTCACGGATGGCCACCGCAGCCCTTGCACCGGCAAATAGGGTACTGAGCCCTGACATGCTGCCAAAAAGCCTTAGAAAGGAGTGGGATATAACACAAGGGACTTGAGGCTCTAGCTTACTGGTGCAACTGGCCTTTTTAGACATCCTGCGTAGGCATCCTCTGCCTATAGAGTCTGATGTGTAAATGGATAAAATGCATTGATGTGTTTGCTCAGGATTCTGCTCATAGGCTACCAGAACCTGTCTCATCCCATCAAGGTTTTGTGGAAATCTTCATGATGTAGCAGTTCACTTTCTTTTCTGCAGTCCCCATAGTTTTTCCTTGCTAGCTCTACTCACTGTCAGGGCAGGCTTTCTTCCAAGCCCAACCTTAGCACACGAATGGGAGATCTTTTGTTTCTTGGTGAGAGCACTTCATTGGGGCTACAGAAGTCTGGATGAAAATGGGTCAGTTTGGGTCTTTTCCTGATGGCTCCCTCTCCTGTACTTGCAGGGACAAGTGTTTCATTGTTGCTGCTATTTATTTGATCCTGGTCTTTGGAATCCAGCATTTCATGAAGGAACGGAGAGCCTACCACCTGCGGACACCACTGACCCTGTGGTCCTTCGGTCTGACCTTGTTCAGGTAAGAGCCTTTACTAAAACTGGAGACAGCTGTAGACCTTTCTCTAAGGACTGCATTGATGGAAAATTCTGGATATCCATGATGTCACTAAGTAAATAAACAATTTTTTCCCTGTGAAGGCCCTTTCCAACTAGGGGAAGTGACCTGCTCATACAAGTAATTTGTTTGCCACCAGAAATATTCCAGCAAGTGGAATGAGTTGCAGAAGGACCGCTGGGGACTGTGCTTGAAAATCATTAGTGGGTAGATATGAATGTGAAGCCTGCAAAAGCAGAGATCCTCCCTTATTCAAAGGATGCCTATCAATTACAAGTTTGATTTGAGGTCTATTAATCTTTAAAATTGTTTCCCCCCCTCACCTTTCTCTAATCCTGTTCTGCTATGCTCACAGAAGCACAGAAGATTAATACAAAATGTATGTTTTCGAACTGTCCAGTCTTACAGTACTGGTTTTCTGCAGTGGCCACAAGACTGTTTCTGCCCATGCTCTGTAATTATAAACAAGCAGATGTCAATTTTCCAAAATTTCTCTTATCTCCATACCTCTTTCTGTCTGTTTCATGAGATAGAGAGAAATTAGACTACTGCCCCTTAACTCCAGCTGGCTTTTATCAAGTCAAAGGGACACTGTTAAGGCTGGGCATGGCAGTGGTCTGTAAAATCACAAGCTGTGTGAGAGGGGAGTTCAAGGGATGACTGTTCATGATCTGTTCAGAAACAAGCTCATGCAGATGAAATGTACGGGTTGATAACAAAGAAAAAGTGGTATTTCTTCTCATAAGCTGTAGGAACTGCCTGCCACAGGAGATTGTAAATGCTCCCTGGGCATGTCTTGTGCAGGACATCAGGACAATTGTCCCCCTTTTCTGATCAATGTAGCAGCTTTTGCTCAAGTGCCTCTTCAAGCAGTGGAAGCAGAGAGTGTAACAAGGGAGCACTCTTTGATACTTAGACCTTGGCTGCTGCCACCCTCCAGGAGCTGCATCGTGACACCAGGCAAACTGAATGGCTGTGTTGGTGGCTCACAAACTACTTACTCCTTGTGTCTTGCTGCTGTTCTGGTGGGACCAGCAGCCTTTCACTACTCTGTCTTGCAGGAATATCCTGGCTAAAAGGTGTTGGGCAAGCACGAGCCCCGCAGAGAGCTAAAACCATCTGGGAAGTAAAAGAATACAACTGTTTGTTTAGATGTCCCTGAGACTACCCTGGGCATCGAGATGGAGTTAGCTGAATATCCTTGGGTGCAGAGATGTGGTGGGCCCTGAGCACAGTGTTCAGCTCTTCTCTGATTTTCTTGCAGTGTCATTGGAGCCTGGCGGGTCTGGAAGCAAATAGCCTTCCTCCTTCTTACCAAGGGATTTAAGCAATCAGTGTGTAGTCGATCTGTCTACGTTCACCCTGTCTCCAAACTTTGGATCTGTTTATTTGTATTGAGCAAACTCGTGGAAATGGGTGAGTCTGAAACTCATCCTGTGTGTTCATAACTGTTACTTGGTTGCTTAGCCTTGCACTTGCCACTCGTTTTCTTGCTCCCTCAGATGATATACTTGCCACCGGGTTGCAGCCTGATGTTATTACTTTAGTTTGATCCCCAGGCCAGGGCCTGGACTAGGCAATTCTGTCCTGGAATTACTGCAGTGAGGGTGCAGCAGGCAGGCAGAGAAGGGCTGGGCTTTCCACCCAGTTTCCATCCAAAGAATAAAGACGAGCTGGTCTGAAGTGCTGTGCAGGTAGAGCTAGGCAAGGAAGCCTGGGGCAAGGGACTCTCATACTACAAACGTGCGAGCAGGTAGGGTGCCTAAACAATGTTTTTCAGGTCAGATTATTTCAATGTGAACCTAGGTTTTGGTGAGATCAAGCCACATATGGTTTCAGTATTGAAGCTTGCTTGTTCTGCCTCATGTGAAAACTTGTGCAACTGCTGTGCTTTCACCTAACTAACAATGCACTTCTCTCCCAACTCAAGGTGACACTGTGTTCATTGTACTTCGGAAAAAGAAGCTCACCTTTGTCCACTGGTATCACCATTTAACTGCAGCAGTTGTAAGCTGGTATACCTATAATGCTATGGTGCCTGGTATTGGCTGGGTTATAGCCTTGAACTTCAGTATCCATGCTCTCACATACTCCTACTATACCGTGACAGCCACGGGCACCCGGGTACCCAGTTCCATCGCCATAATAATCACCACTTCACAAATGGTGCAGATGACGGGATTTGTAATACTGAACTTCCTTATCGCCTTCTGGAAGGATGATAAGGTCTGCCCTATCACCTGGCCACAGCTTCTCAGTTCATCCTGGGTTTATATCACTTTACTGATACTCTTTTGCAACTTCTTCTTCAAAACTTATCTGAGTGGCACACGGAAATCAAAAGGGGAGTAAAACCAGGGACAGAAGAAGAGACTGGGGTGGAGGTGGGGAGAGAGGGAAAGGGCAAACTTTTCACTTCTGTCCGGATCTCAGGTGCCTGATGGGATGGGTGTGATGAGGGTTAGGAAGACGTCACTGTGGATAACAGCCTTCAGATTAACTTGTGCATTGGCCTTTGGTGTGTCTGCCTTGGCAGTGGGGGCATGCCAGAGTGAGGTGCGAGTTGTTGCAGGCTGGTAACAGGAGAAGGGGGAAGTAGCTGGGGGCTGGAGACCTTGGAGCTATGTTTCTGCTTTTTCCTCTTTGCATCACTTGGGTTTGCCTCGTGCCTCTCCTCCTTCCCAGGGACTGATAGGATCCTGCATGCCCCAAGACTCTCCTTGGAAAAAAGGTAGAGAAAGTCCTCTCAAAACAGGACGACCCTCTCCATGGTCCCCGGTTCTGGGGGAGAGCAGGAGAACAGAGCCCAAACCTACTGCTACTTTGTGTGTGGGGCAGCCCCAATAGGTTACTGGTGGGAACAGCACTGAAATGGAAAATCCCTGTTATTTTGTAAGGTTACATTGGGAGGGTCTCTGCCCAGCCTCTCCCTTCTTCTCTGTGACATGGGGAACTGCATCACATGAACTTAAATGGCTGTTATCTGTTGTGTGCCTTTTGTACAATATTAAACAATCTATTTAACTTGACTAGCTACTGCTTCAGACTCTAGGAGCCGAGCAGGGTCCAGCTCTGCCCTGCAGATTGTGCCAGGCGTTGCCAGTGGTCTCAGCCCAGGGCCAGCCCTGTGGGCTGGAGGCTGAAGGGTCCCAGAATCAACTCCTCTCAGAGAGCTTCTGACACTATGTGATGTGTTAAAATGACTAATAAATGCTGTCATATGGATTGATTGATTGATTGATTGATTGATTGATTGATTTTTTTGGATGTGTTTTTTGTACTTGACCTTTGTACAGAACTGTGAGAGAAGCATTGCTTTCTCTATTTCAATACTGTGTCTTTCTGAGGGTTAGCAAGGTGTCTGGCAGACTTGGTCCCTCTGTGCTTACCCCTTCTGCAGTCATCAACAGCTGGTCCTGCTTCTTGAGCCCCTTTGCTCATCACCAGGGAACTAGAAATGAGGCAGAGATGATAAAATTCAGGCTGTTGTTTTGCCATCTGAACTGAGCATGTGGCTATTCAAAGTCACTGTGCTTCATAAAGTCAAGATGAGCCTCAGAGCCTGAGTCTGGCCAGGAGCACTCCAGTGTCCAAGCCTCTGGCTGTGTGTGGCTCCTACCTGGTGAATGGGATTTGGCTTTTTGAGGCAGTGGGCTAGAAAGCTACCACAGGGCTGTGGGCTGCACTTTCATCCCCAGGAGATGGCATCAGTCTGTGCTCTGCCCAGCCTTCCCTGACAGGGGCTCCTACTCTGGATTTCCCAGCGTGGTGGGTAGTAGTGTAACAGCACCTTCCACAGCTTTGGAAATGCAGAAGCAGTCAGCTGAGGTGTTTGGGGAATAGGAATAAACTGAATTCCACATTTGGAAGCTCTCTTTAGAGAGGGGATGGTGAACGTACGGGAGTAATGGGGTGATCTCTCTCCTGCATGGTGCTATTTGGGGCACTTTCTGTGACAGGTGTGGTGCTCGTGAGGCAACTGCCAGCTCTCTCCTAACATATGCCTACAGCTGCCCCAGCAATGTTCCCTCAGCTGTGTTGGGCATCTGCACAAACACACAGAATCGTAGAATCATCAAGATTGGAAGAGACCTTTAAGATCATCAAGTCCTTCAACCCAGTATTTCCACTGTAACCCCTAAAACACTAAAACACATCACCCAGCACCAGATCCAGAAATCTCTTAAACACCTCCAGGGATGGCGACTCCACTACCTGCCTGGGCAATCTATTCCAGTGCCTGAGCACTCTAACAGAGAAAAAAAAATTTCAAATATCTGATCTGAATTTCCCCTGTCTCAGCTTTAGGCCATTTTCTCTAATCCTTTCTCTGCAGTCACAGTAGAAGAAATCAGTCACAACACCACTACAACCTCCTTTTGTGTAGTTGTTGAGAGTGATAAGGTCTCCCCTGATCTTCCTCTTCTCAAGACTAAACAAACCCAGCTCCCTCAACCATTCATCATAAGACATGTTTTCTAGTCCTTTCACAAGCCTTGTTGCCCTTTGCTGGACGTGCTCCAGCAGCTCAATGTCCTTTTCAAAGTGCGGGGCCCAGAACTGAATATGCAGCCCTCGAGGTGTGGCCTCACCAGGGCTGAGTCCAGGGGGGTGATCACTGCCCTAGTCCTGTTGGCTACACTGTTCTTGATACAGGCCCATATGCCATCGGCCTTCTTGGCCACATGGGCCCACTGCTGGCTCATATTGAGCCAGCTGTCAGCCAGCACCCCAAAGTCCCTTTCTGCCAAG